CAACGACACCAGCGCCCACGCCAGCCGCTACAAAATTTAACGCAACGACGCCTGCACCTACTCCGGCTGCCACTAAGTCGAAACCGAATGCCAACTCACCACCCACTACATCTGTCACACAGAGTAATAAGACAGAGACACTCAATTCAACACAGACGTCAGCGTCAAACGAAAGCTCTACATATACTGGGAAAGATGACATTGTATTTACGGTAACGCCAGCTCCAATAAACGTAGGTGACAATGAATCATCGAATGGTACAGCAGATGTTCAAGTGTTAGGACCTAGACTTTCAAATACAGCGGATGGTGATGAAGACCAGACAACTTCAGGAAAACCAGCTACAGTATCATTTGCTGCAACTGCCTCTGACATTGGAGGTCTAAGCAACGAGTTGATGGGCTTATTAGCAGCGGTAGTAGCCTTTGTCGCTGTTGTAGTAGCAGCAGCTGCACTTGTTTATATTCGGAGTAGGCTTGTGAGAGAAGATGTAAAAGAGGGAGAAGAAGAAGATCTCGTTGTGGACGAAAGTGCTGAGAAGGATGAAGAATTAGACGAGAATGCCAACAGCAATGCTGAGCCACCAACGCCTGTTATCGTCCCGTCAACACCAGCTGCTGTGACAGGACAAATAGCAGTGACACCAATTGCTGCAAGTACCTCAACAAAGTTGACAACGCCAGTGCCAAAGGTAGCGCCTGTTAGTGTGGCCATGGCTTCAGTTGAAGTGACATCAAATGCTGATTCGTCTGAGATTGAAGGTCATGACCATCAAGGTGCAGATAATGACTCACAATAGGGAAGTATGCGCGGTATATGTGCTTGTATATAAACCTCAGAAGTATACTGGGGGTAAAATGTTATTATTGTGAAAAAGTATACAAACGTCTGAAGCATACTGGGGGTAAAATGTTATTATTGTGAAAAAATTGTGGTATGTAGCAAAGTGGCTGTTTAATTGTTTATTATTGATGTAGTCAGTCCACTTTGACGTGTAACGTTGCAAAATTGTATTTCTTAAATAGAAGCACCGGTAAAACAAGTATTTGATATTAATCATTCGTGAAAAAGTGTAGCAAACTGAAAGTGTGAATGGTCTATTGTCGCAGTACTATTTTTTGCGCCAGCAGTGATCCTGTGTTGACAAGCTTAGGGTGTTTCAAACTAACTGATCCGCTGTGCAGCTCCGCGAGCGCTCGAAATGATTTTCATGTCCTCCGCACTGGACGCACGATGTTATTTTTTTGACAAGGACGGTGTGCCATCTCAGCAGCAAAAATTGACACGAGCTGAACATAAATGTGGACGTCCTCTAACTGCACTGTTCGATAAGATATGAGAAGCTAGATTTTGCAAAATTCTGAAAAAGAAAATATATTCGGTATCTGGCAAAGTGGCAGGGGCTCGCCTCGCCTCGCATGGGTAATTCTAGGGGGCTCAAGACTTTTCTTTGGCACAATGGTGGTATATTCACATAGTGCTTACCTTGCGTACGATAAATCTTTTCATCTCTCGAATTAGTGTTTAGTATTTAAGGTGTGGTCCTTCTGGTGTATGCGCACTAACCCAACCGTTACTGATTTGAGCAGACTATACCAAGAGGAGAGGCTAAGTGAGGGGTCGAATGCGCTCGCGAAGTAACTTGTGGGCGCTTTTTGCTCTTTATTTAGGCGGGGGGGGGTAATACCGAAAAGATTGAATCCATAATCACGATGTGATTGAGTCTGCAAAACTCGCGGTTGCCTTTACGCTTGTGTTGGGCAATTGCGGCTCGCTAAGTCATCTTCAGCTCAATAACAACCAGCCGAAATTGCCGTGGGTTTTACGGTGAAGTGTCACCGTAGAAATCTAACTATTTATGCAGGCACGGGTGGGTGGTCGACTTATGCACAGAACGGTGGATCGAAGAGAACGCTTCGTTCTCGGTAACGACTCGCCGAAGTCTTCGTGTAAGTGCGAAGGCGCCGGGCTAAGTTCGGAGAGTCACCATGACTGCACACATCGGCGACCACCTCGGTTACCTCAGTGAGTATGGCTTATTAGCCGTCAACCGAGAAGGCTGCGCCTTTATATAACTCCTATTAGCACGTAAGGACGAAGACCTCCGATGTGAAATACGGTCAGAGGAGCAGACAATGGTAAGTCGAATAACGTGAAGAGTTCTCCTTGCAGTGAGGGCTAGAGAAGCGTTCATTTTTGCAAGATGTCTTGAAAAGACCAAATGTGCGTGTCTTCTTGTGATAAACGTGTTGATATGCAGAAGTTGCGTACAGTATCATGTTGAATATAGACCTCACACCCACAGAATTGCCTTTGTTGTCCGTCGGACGCAGAACCAAATACATGATACTATGTATTCATTATAATGATGTGTCATGACAAGATCAAGATCAACGGAGTTGTCACATACCTTGTAAGGGAATGTATATGGCTCTCAGAGTTAGCGTTAACTAAAGCATACCGCGCACCATGCACAGAAGAAGCTTTGACAGTGAGTTAGCGCTATAAACGAACAGCGGTGGGCTAATAAACTTTACCGAGGGTCAGAGCCGGGAGTCTCTCAAGTAACAAGGTACTTTTCTGCCCTCCACATATTTTTGAGTTATGTATGTCTTTTAATGAGATTGAAAAATACTGAATCGATCTGCTCTATTCGCTACAATAAAGAAACGCTATGAGCCGCATAGCGCGGCCTTTCAGTTCGCGTGATCAACGGACTTCTCCTTCATTCTTGTTTATACCATCCAGTACTTTGTACCTTACTGTAAGCAAAGGCACGTTTATGGAATCGTCGAGCGATTGTTAATTCAGCTACCATACGCTAGCGACGCTTAAATGAATGGATACAAAGTATTGTGCATCCCTCCTAAAAAAAGACATGATGGTTGATCATAAGTTTGACTCTAAAACACTACAAAAGTCACAACACCTACCTCTACGTTTACTAATCTGCAATCATTTTTGTCGATGACCTTTGATTTCTGATCATTCCTGAAACTTGTTGCGATGAGGTGAAATATTGTAAGTACTTCATTAAAACAATACCAAATCTAAATCTTTGATGCACATAGAAAGATATCTATCTGGCATTCTGCCGAAAACCAGCAACGATTGACAGATCGTCAATTTGAAAATGAGGTAGATCCAGAAGCGCAAATAGATGATGAAGAGGGACGTCTACGTTGAGATTTATGATGGATCTAATCCCAGTCATCGTATGAGGACGTCAATTAGAGAAATGACGATCGTAACCCGGTCACAGCGATAGGAAAGAAAAAGAAATTATATATTAACCGTCCGAGGAAACGATAAGGTTAGACCTAGGACGAAGATCAGCACTAGCAGGGCAAAATATAATTACCAAGTAGAAAATCTCTTTTGCCAAAGAAGTGGTGCGTAGGAATCACGCTCAAAGGTCTGGTGATTCTCAACACAACAGATCTTTTTGAGAGAACGTCAACAAGGCGACTAAGACCACCAGATTCACGGAGCTGGAGGGCAATGGTATTATACGTAGAAAACCCAGCTCGGATCTTGATAGCGAAAGATCTCATTACAGTAATGTAAGAACATGGGTGTACAAAATTTGCGCGCGTTTTGGATAAAGACTTGTGGTACATGAAGCTTTTAGTCAAGCATCGGTATTTACACAAAGGTTCTTTATAACAGCCAGTACGAGTGCAGCGAATCGCAATACGCTGCCTCCAAGAGTACTTAAACCTTAACCAAGGTAAAGCGGCTGTTCCGTTCAAATTTAAACTATATTTAATTGATTTAGTTGCGACAGAGCCGCCAAAACCTAAAACCTTAGGTTTTCATGATCAACAAAGTAATACCTAAATAATATAGTAACCTAATTAATAGGCATAACTACTGCCACGTAGTGGCTTCTTGTTACGGTGTAACGACACCTTTCTTTGATCACACCACTTGTGTAATCCACATATTTGTACGGTCACACCACATACATGGGTACGTGTAACTCCGTAACATGTCACCCCGTTACACACGTCTTGTGCTGTTCGCATTAACGGATAATGAATATGTTAGTTGTTACCCTGAAGTGACATTATTTTACACTGTCAGGTACAGAAGGTGTTTACTTAGGGACACATAATCGTACGTAGGACAGGTCACCTCGCGTGCGGGCGGCTCGTGAGAGCGTATTCGTGATACGGCTTTGGTGGACCCAAGAAAATACAGGGTGTTTACGTTGTCTTAGGACATTCTTAAGTATAACCTTATAGTGTTTGAGCTACGACTGTAAAGGGTCCAAAATAACAAAGGCGCATCATTGACTTTAGGTCTACAGACACTAAACGTGATGAAATAGTAAGACGTTCATCTTCAAATGCAGATGTGTAATTTGTCTGTCGCCGTCATCTGCCTTGCTTCTATGTATCTTGGCCTTCAATCATAGCGTCGTGCATTTGACGCACAACGATTGCTATCTTCCAAATATAATTGGCGACTTTATTATAAAATGTAGCCGGGCTCATCAGCGACTCGAATCGTATCTTTGCCTACTCACCAAACAGAGCCGATACCATTTTGAGATGGTGTTTTGGAATCAAGAAAGCTGGCGAAATCATTCCAAAAAATGTCTGTCATAGGGAGGCCTCTTTAAAGATTTATAGCGCAACATCAAAGGGTGGGGGCATGTCTCTCCAACACGCGATCACTTCGCACGAGTGCTTCGGAGGATATCGCTCACAACGCAACGATTGCGCGTACCATCCACCATAGGCCTATATATGGTCTGTCGTATTATTCAAATGAATCATTTTGAATAGCTTTGACGTTCATTGATATGCCTTCGCCGTGATCTCGCTGTACAGCGCAGATCTAGGTTCGAGGCAATCATCCATACTGGCGACAAACGTTGTAAAAAGTTAGCTTTGCTGTTTACTCACCGACAACAGTGTCATTGACAGCAACGAGTGATTCACTTACCTCAGACTGTCAACATAGACCAGTATGCCGGTATCGCCAAAAGCGTCTTTCGGAATGCAAAAAATATAGCCCATTCTAATACACTACCAAATCTATAATACAGACAAAACATAGTAATGTGCGTCTTGGCGATACATTTGTGAGCTCTGTGTGCTATTGCAAATGAAGAGAAAAAGTCTTGAATTTTTCGATAAAACGTCTGAAATTAGAGATCAATGAGCACGGGCTTTAAAGCCTAGCACAGATTCATCCTTGACATTCATGATACTTTGACCCCTTCACGCTCAATCTGCGACTGTTGTGCAGTGAACGAAGTCATGGGCAAGTATAGTTGATTTTGCTTGCACACCCAGCGATATATTTTGGCTGAAACCAGTGTTTTTGGTAGTGTGCAATATTGCTACATAGTTTATGATTTAAGGACGTCTATAAAGCTGTGCTACTAAGTTGTCTTGATGGAATATGCGTCTCATGATCGGTAACATGGTCAACAATCTTACTGCCGACCAATGGGATCGATGGTGATTTTTGCAAACTTCGGTCGTTTCTGTGTAGCCTAAGTTTTTGTTTGTTGCTGCAATCTTGTGATGAAGCTCGGACAAGCTAACAACACAGGCCAATGTGTGCTGACCGATCGGCTTACAAGTGCACCAAAGCGACGCAAATGATGCATTAAAAATTTAGGCAGAACGTTGAAGCGGGCGTTTTGAACATCCAAGCACATGTTAGAAGCTCGTTCAGATGCGAGACGAGCTGTTGTGTATTCGTAAAGTAAGGTGCATCAAGAGTAAGGTGGTTTCATCACGACTGGCATGCTAGGTGTCTGATGTTATTTGTTTTAATAGTTCGTTGTGCTCGAATTCTCTTTCGATGCAGAGCAAACACCTCGGTGATGGTGTCTAGCATATACGCTCTGCTATCGAAAAAGCATCTACAATCACGCTTTCGCGAACGCAGATGACTCCCGGCGATTTGATTGACCCGGCCATATGAAGATTCACACTGGAAGTAACGTTTGATAATTTAACGATCTTTACATCTCCCTCCAGCTGTGGTTGTCCGAATCGTCTCATCCTCTATAAATAATCTCACTAATTTGTAGATTTCTCTAGCTGACGAAATGTGAAGTGGACTACAAAGCAAACAGATATACCAGTCCAAAGCTTGAATGGTGCAAAGTGAATTTCTTTGAGATACCGAGAGTTAAATACGAGCACAGGATATGAACGTATTCTTGCATGGAAGCCAAAATAAAGTTATTTTCTTGCTTACTGGATAGTGCATTTTATGTCAAAGCATCATGTTGTTAAGTCTACAAACATACCAGATGTATGAAGATGGGCCACCAAGGAGAGCTCAATACCGCAGCTAGAAAACTAGAGAAATTCTGATTCACTCATATGCTGACTTTGCCTCTCTTCTACAAAGTTTGAAGATTCAACGAAACCAGAAGTCAAGCTTAGTGTCGTGGAATTCAGGCTGACTCTCACATTAAAGAATGGGATATTCTAAATAATTGGTTGGTCTTTAATGAACTTAGTTGACATACATGTAGGACATAGCATCGAAAAGAGACTTCCGTAATTCTAATCCGATGCAAGCAAGATATATTGGTAAAAGAAGAACGCAAGTCTCCATTCCAAACCATAAATTGCTTTTCTAACGATACAATAGAGCTATAAGCAAAAGTGTGAAGCGTCGAGACAAAATGGCAGATCCTGTTGACGAACGCACCCTCGCGCACATATGCACAATTGACGCCATGGGTTGCTCAATTGACGACTTGCCAATGCAAGCATAAGTACAACCTTGAGGGCAAGACACAGGCAGCGCATATTCGATGATGTGGTATACTCTTGATCTGCATTGTATCATTTATTGACTGACTTTTTTTTGCTATAACTCTTTTTATATACGGTCTTGATAGCCGCGAAATTCTGGATACTGCATCTGATAATATGCATCCGTTCGTCAATCAACAGATTGCTTATCAAACGGGATGGAGGTACACAACGAAAATGGACCTGTGATGGTGAAACATAGCGCGAGTGGGATGCTGCTTGAAATCCGTGTGGCGTGGTACTAGCTTTGATCTTGCACATCTTTCCTTTATGCGGTCATGGTGTTATCGCAGAAATGCAACGACTGTCTGATGCGCTGCAAATCCAGTTTCTTGTTATCGTTGGATTGTGAGCAGTATTAATATTTGAGTCCAGTGAAGTGGGTAACGTTGTATTTCAAACATCATGATTCTTCTATGTGACGTTCTCCCCAACTTTGACAAAATGCTAGCGTACTTGACCACGTACGTCGCGCTCCTATCTACAAACTCTGCTACAACAACCAATAAATGAGAACTCCAGCAAATTCGCATTCTACGTATCTATTACTGGTCTCTAAGTTTCAAATCAGCCAAGATCCAGATTCATGAGGTTACTGTTGTGTATCCTTTATGCTCAGTGAAAACCAGCCGTATCTACACTACTACAGCTGGCGTCCTATACCGCTGAAAGGCGTTATCACAAGTCCAGCCTGTACCACTCATCTAGAATCGTCTATGGCTTCACAAATCCCATCTACTAGAAGACATCCATTTCAAATGAACAAGAACATTGCGTGTACTGTGATACAAATACTGCAAGAATGTTTGCAGATGTTGCCAAGTCTCACAGTAATGATTGGATGGTAAAATCTTCGTGGATCAAAAGCACATCTTTTTCGATCTTGCACTCTAAAAACAAGCAGCAGTTCGATACAGCAAGCCCCTTAAGCTTGAAAGTTCGCACGCTCTTCAAAACGTCCATTTTCCAATTTCACCTCTCGTTACTCAATTCACACAATGACAGATAAGTCCATGCCTAAGAAGTTTCTGCGCGGCTCCACGCTCTTGCTTGGTTGTGTTTTGCTTGGAATCCCTGGTGAAATGACATCAATCATTAGCACTGTGAACTGCCAAGATTACAACAGTACGACGACGCAAGTCATGGATCCAGTCAGCAACTCTACTGAAGAAAGAGCGAATGCCGTTATGACTGTTGTTGGGCGATTCGTAAATGAAGCGGAAATATTCGCTCACAAGATACTACCAAACAATAAGGTTGAAGCAGTGGTACTTGCTGTGTATACGAAGAGCCTCCAATCTAAAAAGATCACGTCGAATCTGTTTGAGACGACAGAATTATTGGATTTGTGGACCGCCATTACTAAAGTCAAATCTCTGCATGATGAACGAGTAAAGGAATTGCGATCTCGTCTTGTTAGTATCTACGACACAGCCGGTTTGATGAAGCATATCCGAGAAGGTCTAGCTAACGACGCGCCATCAAATAACTTGGCTAAAGTGCTTTGGGATTCTCAAGTCACTGCCTGGAGCAAGGACCGCACGCCATTGATAACTGTGTTCAAGGAGCTAGAGCTCAACAAGTCTCCTCTCGACTGGAACAATCCACTCTTCCCAGCTTTCATTGAAATCGTAAACAAGCTAAAGACTGCTTCAGGGATAACGAAAGACTCTTATGATGTCCTATACGAAATGCTGATAACGTGCCATGGAGGCAAAGCGGGAGTCGACAACATCATTCACGCTGCAGCACGAGCGGTCAAAAAGGGAAATCCCGTGCCGGAGGTCCTAGTGAAGTTGATGCAGACTACATGGAAGGAAAACAGCCCCCAAGCAGATGAGCTTCTCGAGCGCTTTTTCTCCGACGTATCATTACCCGACATTCTGACGTCCCAACTTCTTCCAGTGTGGAAAGATTATGCTGAATCAAGCAAATTTGATTGGGCATCAATATTACTGAATCACTTCTTGACCATCACCAAGCATGAGATTGACAATGAAAAGGTTCTAGCTCGAACTTTGGCCGATGAGAGATTGAAAGATTCTGAATCGCAGTTTATTGCTCGGTCTGTGGAGAAGAAGCTGCTTAGCCGTTGGCATGAGAAGTCGATTCCATATGATCAGGTGCTTACAATACAAGAAATTCGAGTGACACAGGGTCAAATCACCTCCCAGCCCCATCGTGTCGAGTCATGGATCGCTTATCTTGCTGAATGTGGCAACATAGAGTCTACACTATATGACGCGTCAAGACCGCGTTTGAGTGAGAACCAAATTGCCAGCCTTTTTTCGGTCAAATGTACTAGCAGCGAAGCTTCGGAAGTTCTTGATGGCGTAAGAAAGAACTTGTTCGATTTTTGGCAGCGCAAAGGCAAGACATCAAACGATGTTTTCGAAATTTCCTTCAAAGAGGATGGCAAAGAGCTTTTTGATAAGCCAGAGCTAACATTTTGGGAATCCTATATGGTATATCGATTTGGTGACAAGGCACACGCAGAGATGCTCAAATTTTTGCGAGACCACAAATATAGTGACGAATTGCTTGAGTCATCTTTGTTGCGAAGTCTCTCACGAGCCACTGCAACTCCGATAAGCGCTGACCAAGAGCCGCCAGCTGAAGTTAAATTACTAGTCCAATTTTGGCTTGAGAAGCAAATGTCTGAGCTTCAGGTTCGACAACATATGAAGCTCGATGATGTGGCCAACCCCGCGTGGGATCGCCTTTTCTCTGTCTGGATTACTTTTTATGCCAAACAGAAATATCCGGAGTTGGGTTTTAAACCTGCAATCGACAAAGCAACAACGAATGATTTATATCCTCAGTTCGCTTTTGCTCGGATGCTTGCTGAGGCTGCGATTCACCACGAATCTGATTTTGTTCTTCAGATGCAGAAAAACCAGTTTCAATACTGGAACGCTCAATCGGAACAATGGAAAGTTAATCTTTTTAGCGAGCTACACGGTGACCCACTGAACGCGATCGACCTTCGAGTCACGGAAGACTATGTAGAATTCGGTCGAATTGGATCACACTAGGTTAAGGAAACACTAGGCTTTAGGACTCAGTCATATCGACATTGCATAGTAAACACAGCATCTAGGTAAGAAGAAAACCAGACAATCCAAAATTGCAGTCTATTAGAAATGATTTTGTTTAGTTCGTATTCTTACATTACATTATGTGTGTCATTGAAAATGATTTGTTTAGTTAATGCTCTTATATGACAATATGTGGCTAGTACAAGCTCTAGAATCTTTATAAAATCCAGTTCCGGTACACCAGAAATGTAAATAGTACCAAGTGTATAAGGTATTAAGAACTTATTTAGTTACATTTCTGATGTGAGCCACACGAGAGTTTACACTTATTTTGTGCTACCTATGACATCGACGTGCTGCATTTATTCGTCGTAGCTCTCGGTATGGCGCCGCACATCATGCGCATGACACTCAGTCTCGTCGAGATAGAATCATCGATTCGGCTACGAAGTGTAGCTGGGCTGATATCAGCATGTCAAAAGTTGATGGACATCATGACCGGAGCCAGTTCGTGGCGAAATCAGAGTCCCTGGGGGTCACTAAAGCAGTTGCGGAAAATTGGGGTAAAGCCTGTCGAGGTATGTACCATGTTATCCAGTGCAGCCACAATCATTAACAGCGATAAACTCCAGCACGGCGATCTCTCCGCGTATGTGCTCCGGTGGATATCATTCACAACGCAATTTACATGTTCCATCTGACTTTCGGTTTCCAAATGGTTAGCGGTTGGCAAATTAAATTCGGTGCTTGGCCCTTGACACCAATACATAGCGCCCACCGAGCATTATACGTTTTTCTCACGAGATGGCCAAGTCAAGTTCCTCATGCATTCTGTATTCACTAGATGTCCACATAATGAGGCACAACTAAACGCAGAATATCAATGTGGGTCAGTGCTCTGGTATATCAAGCTTTAAGATGAGGCATAGCAGAATAGGCGTACAATCCTGCTCTTTGATATAACGTATTCTGAGTTAGCAAATTCCTTGCTTTAAAGTCTTTACGCAGCATAGCATATATTGCATTACCCGCGCACTGTACTTATCATGATATCAATTGGCGACGTCACCGTTGTGAATCATATTCGGGGCGACGAGTTTGTGCATCTGCAACCACATTAAGCAGACCGTACCTCATTGTTATACTCGACAAAGAAGGATGTGCATCTTGCCAGATATGTGGTGACGATGTACACACTAGTGTGAACAGTGTGATCACAACAACGCATGTTCTGATTCGATAACAAACGGCTCAGAGCCAAGTAAATCCACCCTGGACTTAATATAGGTCATAATTTATTGGAAGTACATATTTTAATTGGATAGGTAGCAGCTTTGCTCATACGGGATCACGCGTTCAAGCCCATAGGCATTTGTATGTGGCAAAGTAAAGACTAGTGCAAAGGCTGAAGCATCACAGACGACGTGGATAGGCCGAAAAGCCAGAATCTGGGTACCCATTACCGTCTCATTCACACTCTGAAAGGCCGCCTCTTCGCGACACTTCAACACCATTTGGTATCCTTTCCAGAGGATTAATGAGGATTTATTTCATGTCGAAATAGTGAACACTGTACTTGTGCGAGTAGTTTGCCAAGACAAATGGGACAAATATTGTGATTTGTGTACTTAACCTTCAACCATTCAGTGATACGATAAAAGAATTATATTGCGCTTGGTGAAATTGTGTATATCCAAAAGAAACAGAGCTGTATTTTATGGTGATGACGCAGAGTTAATAGTGGGAGGATCCGAGGCTGCTAGCCATACGTTATGATAAAAGTATGAGGAGTAGTAAGACGTATGTATTTAGTATGATTTTCAATTTTCTTATATATATGTATCTGTGAAATAGCAAAGCAAACTAGCAGTTTCTATAGGCTCTAGATTTCGCTAAATGTAGAAGCACACGAACCCAACCCCTCTGCGTTTGTTCACACGGACTCTGAGAGTCGCAGCTCTGCACAACAACCGAGTAAAACTTGGTAGAACTTGTTGAACAATCGCACAACCAAGTCGGGGATATACTTATCCTCTCAAAGCATGTTCTGATGATTAATCTGGAACGATTACACAATAACATTGAAATATCTAGGTAAAATAGGGAACATGGAAATATGATTTGTACTATCTATCCAGACGTATCAGGTATATTATAATTCATCTAGTACCCGCAAAGGGGGCAAAGACGCGTAAATTATCGTCATTAGTTAGGGAGTTTGATCACCACAATGGCGTCTGGCCTCCCCGGAGGAAAGATGGTTAATATCTCGATGATTATTCTCCGAAACGGTGTGGCTTGCACCGAGACCTTCTGCATCCAACCAGGCTTTTCGCAAAGTGAATGGCGTCTCATTCATTGCAGAACATAATCATCCTGCCTGAAGACAGGATAAGATGCGGGGAATGTACGCCCTGCGAGTGCACCAAAGGCGATAGACTTCGTCCTTGGTGGGGAAGAAAAGAAAACCTCTTGGCTAATGAACAGCCCAGCTACCCATAGGAATTTAAACTGCGATAGAACAAAATATCTGCACCTTGTGTGCCATTTTCGCTCTTAGCTGAGGGATACGAAGAGTCAGGTTCTCACGTAAGGGCGGGCGACAAACCACTTAGAAGAAATTTCAGGTCCCAGTAGGTCGCCATTCGCCTGCTGGGAAAGTTTTGGGTTTTATCGTATCTCAGGGTGGCTTATGGGAGTTGTGATTAAACAAGTTGGGTTTTACGACCAGGTTGGTTGGGTGTTGGCAGCAACGTGTAGGTCTTTGAGACCTTGCAAAAGTTCTGTTTGGGTCCATGTGAACCGTGCAATCACGAACAACGTGCCACTACCGAAAAAAGAAGCAAAAAAGGCACGAAAGATGCTTAATACGGAAACAATATTCGCGTATCTTGCGATGATAACGCTGGCCAAAGTGTCGATAGTATGTTGGACCGTCAAAAAATGAAAAAGAGAGCTCTGACAGCGTGTAATCTTGTCTTGTCCTGAAACCTGATTCGAAAAATACTCTCATTTGGTCAGTGTGGCGGAAATGCCACAATGCATAAGTCGACTGGAAGTCGTAAAAATTAAGTGCTACGCTCTTGGCTGTTGCTGGAGCATCGTCGTGTCATAAACATACCTCCGCCAGAATCGCTTTTTGCGCGGGCACGAAGCTGCAGTAGCTCCGTGCAGGGAATGGGATTGTCTGATAGTAATAGTAATCGTATTGTTAGGTGCCTCAAGTCGAGTCCAGATGGCAGAAGCGGTACTAAGTTGATATCTGATGATGAAAAGGAAAAGAACGATTGTATATTGCTGACTTTAGAGGATGTCAATGTTGAGACAGAAGAGGACGACGGTATGTCTTGGTCTTTGTAGTGAATCAATGACAGCACGGTATTCAGGACCGATGGATAGCAGAAGCAACTAGATTTCGCGATCTCCCGTATTAGAGTTGGTAGAGCTGAAGGGCGACTGTCACTCACGAGTAGAGGGACTAGGGACTTGAAGACTTCATTCTTGTAACAGCAAGGTGATACTGTTGAGTCAGCACTACCATGCGACAGGCCCACCGTGAGGGCGGCAAAGCCCCACAAGTTAGAGACAATAAAGATTGTTCAGTTGTGACCGGGGTGACTGCAAGTCTCCCTCCACTTCCCCGAGCAGAAGATCTTAAAAAACTAAGTAAGGTTACTTTTAGTATGGTTCGTACGAGAGGAGAAGCTGAGCTTACATTAGTAATGAATGAACTTGCGGTTGAGGATAATTGCAGAGCACTGAGTACGGAGTAGGATGATTTTCTAAAGGATCCTATAACTTCGTTCCACCCTAGATTGAAATAACCATCACGCGGTGTGCCCAGATAGGGGATGCGTCACAAAAAGATTTGAATCCCGGAAAAAAAGATATTACGTCAGACGGTTATGGTCACAACGAGGGCACTTTGTGACGTCATTGACGCTAATTCTTTTTCAATACACGAAGCGGTTTTGCTTAGGAAATGTAGTGTTCACACTGATCGCCATCTTTTTGTGTCAGAGAAACTAAAAACATGTGGCAAATTGTGCATGCTAACGATAAGCTTAATACAATCACGACTTTGACCCAATATCCGAATTTTAGAATAAATGTGTCGCAGAGTTACATGGTCGGCTGTGGATTGTTCAGTGGAATCGACCTAGTTTTCATTATCAACTGCTGATGAGAGATAGCGATACCTCTCTCACTGCGGTAAGTATATCGGACGGATGTTTTAAGAGCGGATGATTATGCCGGAGGGAGTGTTTAAAGCACCAGCGAAGTTCTAACGTCTGGTAACACGGCTATCGGGCCACATCGTGGCTATGCACAAAAGTCTCCCGACGACATATCCGTCCATTGTCGTGCGAAGCCAAAAAGTTGAATGTGGAAATTCACATCAAACACCTGCGAGTGGTGCTCGTGTGTGTGCGCTTTTTTCAGCTACTCCATGATTATGACGGCTGCGTGTTTGACACGAACGAAATGCCTCTTTTGGTTTGCTCTGGAAGAAAGCAGGTCTGCGGATCAATACCGCGAAGACCAATGCCAATGTAGACTGACCAGTTACTCTATCCATTCGAGCACATCCGCATAAAGTTGCTTAGAATTTATAAACTGTTAAATGTTGAACTTCATCAATAAGTGAGATATCATGACTTAAAAGTGTCAGGTAAAGAATATATGGTATGGAAAGAGTCCACTCACACCTTTGAAGCATCTGAATATTAAAGGACAATTAGCGCCGTCGCACGCACCGAGAAAACATGTAATCAACAATTGCGACTTGCTTATAATTTTATTATTGATTACCATTTATTTTGTCATAACTTTGTAGGTTTGTTTTTTGAAGGCGATGTTCGTCAAAAATTTTTTGTACTTACCGACGAAATCGTTGAACAATGAGTATCGATTTTAAATAATCACAATAGAGTAACAAATGTTGGACTCTCCCGCGCTATCAATCGCAAGAATATTCTCTTACTATACCGGTATCCTTGTCATTCTGCAATCCACCATTGTGTAAAAACATGTCGAGAGCTTATTGGTACTACTGCAATCTACCCGACGAGGCGTCACTCGTGGTTCCTATTGTTCAAGCTCATCAAAATGCTGCTTGTAATTATGTCGAAGTCTTTGCTAGTACATTTACAGCCGAATTAACGCTGGAAACGGCAATTGACGATGACGAATTGGCCGTCGCAAGATCCGCGTATGTATTGGTGGCTGCTACGCTGGACTCGACAGGTGTCGACCTTAAGAAGGCTGAGACCAAAACAAAGGTAAATTCGACAAAAACTGAGCGAAAAGTTGCCGCTCAATCATCAATGGATGCCACTGTGAAATTAATTCCTACTGAGACAGCGTTAGCGGCCGAAGAACTTGCGACTGAGGAAAAGCGCAGGGATGATAGCGCTTGTGTATCTGAAGAATCAATTGCAGCTGGAAATGCTGCATCTGTGACCGTCAACATTGTTGAAAAAAAACCGACTGTAGTCCAGGCCTTTGCTGAAGATACTGCAACGGTCGAAATTTCGGCTGGGGATGCAGCGACTGAGACCATATTAAAGGTCGAAACTATGGAGAAAACTCCTAAAGTTGTTGAATTTGCGGGTAAAGAAGAATACGAGTCAGTAATGGCTCAAAACGGGGTTGACGATGAAAAACTGATCAATTTTAAGCAGTTGACTGACGAGCCTATAGCTGAACCAGTTGTGGCAGAGGATGTGACGACGATGAAAACAGTTGCTGCTCTATCGACGTCAAGCGTCAGCTCTGATAAGCTTGCGACCAGGCATGTGACTGATGAAGTGGTTCTTGAGTCAAAAAAGGTCATGACATTCGAAAATTCGATCCTCGAAGGTCAAGGCGAGCCTGTGGCAATAGTCGAAACTGCAGATATTCAAGGAGAAGAACAATCAACCCTAGCAAAGACCGTGCGTGATGACGAGTCGGAGACGGAGACTCAGTCCGAGAAATCGGAAATGAATGTGACAGAAGCAGTCGAGACTGATGTCGTTGTTAGAGTTGTCGCTGAGCCTGACTCTGAAATCGGTGAAACCATGGTCATCAATCCCGTCGTTGCAGCAAAAGAAGATGCTGCGCAAACGTCGTCGTTCGGGTTTATACCCGAACAGCTTCGCAAGAATAGCTACGCGGTCTCATCAGTTGCTGTTGCAGTCACTACTGCAATCGTTGCGACTTTAATGGCACGCAGATAAGAAAAGACATCAAGTGCGTGACTTCTTTATATATACATGATAACAAGCACTTAATGTGACTTAACTTTTCGAAAGATACAATTTGTCTTGAAGAATTTCTGGCATTCTGCGGTGTATATACTTAAGTTCCTGATTCTCTCTTTAAATATTGTAATGTGCGTCCCTCTGATGGTCAAATAATATTATACATCAATTACACTGCAATGTGTACGTTAAAAGTCCAGCGAAGAGCTCAGCACAAATTACGAAACAGCAGGTCTACAGACTTGCTTTAAAAATCGCAAGATTTGCTTGATGGACCAAATTGTTATAAATTTGTATGGACAATTTGATTGTAGAACTACTCGTTTGAGCAAGTAACTCAGAAGGAAATAAGGTTATTAATGAGAAGAAATGGTAAGTGAGCGTGGAGCCATATAGAAACCAGGGCAGTCATGTGAATAGTGCATCTTTTAATTGTAGCATAAGTCGGAGAAGATATTGAGTAGTCCTATAGTTTTTCAAGAAATTATTTGACTACAAAGGCATATTTAATAATATACCTTTTACAAAATTTCCTTCGTCGAGACAATGCAGCTGAGCCCAAAACTTGAATAAAAGTCAGCCTGAGTTTCTTGCAATAGTAGCATCGCAAAGATTAATTTAACGACTTGAGCTTTGACTTCTAAGAAAAGGATTTGGGAAATTTATCCCTTTTAAACAAGCGTGTTCCCGCAAATCAAACACCAAAACAGCGTGAGCTGACTGCTGAATTTGAACGTTGTTGGGCGGGAGTTGAAGTGTGAATTGGAAGTATTCTTTGATTTATGTGACTGAAACTTTTTCGAACACAATGCTACTTTCTTAAAGTGTTAGTTGCCTGTTCTCAACTAAATCACAACAACGTCTAGGAGAATACATATATTTGCAAAGTATTGACTGTTTTGGACGATAGCGACTAGCTGCATTGGGTGCCTATTTCTGCAGCCCTCAATCTATTCGTCGATACCGCAGATCCCCTTGCTTTGAATAGAAACTGCTCTAATATTGAAAAAGCCGGAGTGTTTCTTCTAATATATTATACCCTGACATCATTGATTTTATGATCAAAACCCTTCAAGCGTTTCTGAAAGCTTACAGTACCTCTTGATATCAATCTACCTCCTATCCTACATTCCAACCTCACTGGAACTTGATGACTGTAGTACCACATCTCTCCCATCCATTCCGTAGACTTGACATTGCTCGCTCGTCGCACAATGGTGGAGAAAACACCCCCGAGTTCAGGCCCGTCGTCGCCTACAGCCAACGAGGCTACATTTCAGCTGGAGCGCCGAAAGTCAGCCGAACAGGTGCGGATCAATATCGAGAAGTTTGTCGATGGACTTATGAGCGAACAGTACACGCTTGCTCAATTGCTCAACGAGAGCTTTTCGCTCGAGATGCTGGAATTGCTATTTAAACGTATGACTGGCCGTCTTCGAATTATCTTGTTTTCAAGAGAGAAAACGCTTGAATTTATTCGTCTTGCATTGGATGCAAGCTATCCAAGACATACACGTGCAATGGCTGCACAATTTATAGTTGCTGGTGGCGCTATGAATGTTATTGCTGTCTGTGATCCAGGCAAACCGCACGAATGCGCCGAATTTTGGGACTCAATTTTTGATATGCTACAGCGTGAGGCAGATGGCGTCTCGTCTAAGTGTGATACACCTCTTCGACGTAAAGAGCGCCAAGCATCTGTCGCTGAACTGGAGGAGCTTATTCAAGTGGCTGTACAAGTTTTCGAAAAAGACGGAGCACAGACATTGGAGCAAAGTTTTGCAGAACATGAAGAAGAGAATAAAGAAAAAAATGGATTGGCAAGACGACGGGCATCGTCTGCAAGGTCATCTCTAGGAGATTTTACCACGTTAAAGACCACGGCTTCACCGTTGCCTTCTCCTAGAACTCCAAATAAGTCAACGAGCAACTTGCATATAGATACAGCAAAAGAAGAGGTCACTGTACACACAGACAATGCCGAGTCTGATCACGAGTCCGATTCGGATGATCTGGATAACACTGGCATTCCGGCTCCATTGACCACCGAAGTCAATGAGATGGCCATGTACGGTATTTTCAGCCATGACTCAGCCAATTTTGCTTCGCAAGTCCTACGTTATTTTGCAATTCGTGGTCAAAAGGGTGCATGTATTTTGCACTTTTTAGCAGAGCACCCCGCAACTGTGGATATGTTGCTGGCTAATGTTGGTCATGACGATATTCGTATCTTGTTACTGCATCTCATTTACGCTGAACACTCGGAAGCGGCCATCACTTCGTTATTTGAAACTCACATGATGCAAAAGCTGATTCAAAAGCAAGTAACATTTTCGCCACCACGCAATGCTTTTGAACGGGACTGTATCGAAAATACTTTTATGTTATTGCGGGAAATTATACACGCGCCGTATTTGACTGGACGTGGTGTAGCCATTTCAGCGAAAACCATACCGCTAGATAAAGTGACTGGCCAAGATGAGTATGTATCAATCTGCGGAGCTTCGCGCGAAACCGCCAACTCGGCTTTACGCAAGTACACTTCGCGTAAAGTTCGACGACTCATTCATTTGTTTATGCAGGAGCATCAAGCTGCGCTCGAATTGCTTTTTGTGCAGATGATTAAGGAGTTGACTTTCTGGAGTATTCCGCTGACGCGTGAGCGACGGGGGAGCGTGGCTTCGATTGAATCGTTGGTGCTTTTGTCACAGGGGCATCCACGTCCAACGTGCATTATGATGCTCATGCATCTTTTTGAGCTGACAGAAACAGTGGAATTTACCGATACAAAAGGCACTGGAGGTTCCTCAGCTGCATCCATGGGCATCGACTGCTTAAATTTTTTATGCTCGACTCACCTCATGCGTCAGGGAAATTTGCTGGTTAAAAAGAAATTAAAGAATGAGCTGCAAAGATGTCAAGTAAGTTTAAATTGTATGATGGGACTTCGCATGACTGCATTGCGTGATGGTCAGGTATCGAATTCAGCTAGTTTAGACCAGGCTTTTACGCCAAATTTAGGCAATCAAAGTGTTATCACGCTGGATGAAATGGAAAATGTGCAAAGTTCTGACTGGCACGAATTTGGCTTTAGTGTGACGATAAGGAAAAAAGTGGTCGCTAATAACAAAACCTCCCCTACTTCGCAACGCTCACCCACGGCCCCAGCAAATGCGATGGTACATCATCAACGTCGAAATGAAAAAGATCCTGAAGGTTCAACGATACAAGTTAAGTCCATCGAGTATTTTGCTGCGTCGTCGGAAACCGAAAAACAGGCGTGGATAACGCTGTTGCAGGCAGTGATTGATGGCGATCTGAATGAATTGGAAATATTTTGTAGTGACGATTGGCGTAGCAATGTGCGGGAGTATCGACGTCTACGTGAATGTCTGATCATGTGTATGGAGCGTAAGGGACACGAACTGATGGTGTTTTTGAAACAAGTGATCACATTTAACACTCGCAAAGTGTCAGGATTTCATCTCTGGTCGGTTGTACAGTGTTTAAACGCCGTCTTATCAAACGAGTCGAAACGTTTGGACCGAATGTTTGTTGGAGCACATGTGATCACGACTCTTATTACGTGCTATGAAAAGTATCCGATGCGAAATCTTCTGTTGGGTGAGATTACAAAAATGCTTGTGTTTTGTATCGGCGATTTTAAAAGCAAGCGCTCTCGCAAATGCCCAATTATTGGGCGAATCCTGCAAACGGAAGGTCCTGACGCGAAATTAGCACCTTTACTTTGCAAAGTATACCTCAACCGTGACACGGATAAAAGTCACAGTGGACAAGAGGACAATTTCTTGGCTGGAACGGACGCTATTTCGAATTTGAAGCTCGTTATGGAAGCTTTAAAGATGTGTTACAAGGACCCGAAAACAAGGAGTCAAGAACGTATCCAATGCGAAATGAAGTCAAGCCCACTATGGCGAAAGTTAGTTGAAGCATCCGATGACATGACTGAGAAGGACCCTTTAAGCTGCATTTTGACGACAACGGCCCCACCACTCTCTTCTGTAGATAATTTAAGCTCGACGACTGCACTTACACCTCCCACATTCCAGGAGGATATTATAAATCAGATAAGTCGACCAAGCTACTCTACAGCACACGGCTTTGGATCATCATTTTTGGAAGGAGAAGGATGTGCGTTTGGATATTTGTTCAAAGAGCGACATGGCGGCCGTGAGTGGAAGAAGGCGCTCGTTGTGTATGAATATGTTTCACATAAGTTGTGGTATTTCTACCCAAGTGAAGTGGATGAAACACACACGATTCAATGGAAGTGGATTGTGCCTTTATCAGTACGAAGTCGCTACACACATGGTCAAGACGAGACGCACACGTCTGTAGGTCACCATGGTCTCTATATCACTGCGTACGACCACCAGCAAAATGATGAAGATAGTAAAGTTTCAGCAAAGGAGATGCATTTCAGTGTCACTAAACTCGAAGATCGAGATCTGTGGAAAGATTTGCTGTCGAACGCAGCCGACATAGTACAAAAGCTAGCTCGAGAGTACTCAGTGCTTTCGCAGAAACTCAAAAAGCCGGACAAGAAGACAATTACGCACTGTCAAGATCCAAACTGCAATACACCATTTAAGCTCTTTCGCCGTCCACATTCATGCAAACGTTGCGGCAAATGGATGTGCGCTAAGTGCACATCACAACGTATATCGATTCCAGAAGTTGGTCTATTGCACCCGGTTCGTCATTGCCGAGCGTGTTTCGAAGCAAATGGTGGTGTGCATGCTGAGACTGATCCTTTCAATCTTTTCCATCTTCGAAACGTGCCTACTACAGTTTCTTCACAAACTGGCAAGCTCTCTAACGCAGAGCTTTACGAACTTGCACATGGCAAGGTCTCTCCTCGAACCCTTATGCAAATGAATCGTCGGTTAACGCGATTCTTATCAATTGACTCGCCTACAGCAGGCGAAAATGGTGGTAGTTTCCTTGTAGACGAAATCAATGCGCCAGGAAACCTCGGCGCTGAGAATTTATCGGTGTATACAGATGATGAAGAAGATTTGTTCTCCTTCACTCCATCTTTGTCACGTCGAAGCCTACTACATCCTCGAGAAGACATTCGCGGGTAGAGTAGCCAGAGGAGATACTTTTGGTAAAGCAATATTGATGGTATTTTATTGCAGTTAGGTAAGTAAAGTAAAGAAGTATAAAACATAGTGCCGGTATATATTCATTAGTGTTGAAGTACCTTACACAATTTAAGCGCATGTCTTCGACAAAACGAGCACGCGAGATCAACGTCACCGACGAACAGGTCAAGCGCTCACGTCGCTCGCGATGGGGCCACGATGAGGATGATGACACAAATGTTGAGAAACGAAATGCTTCAACGAGTCCCAAAACTTTGAGTGATATTGTAAAGCGCTTATCGAGTGTCGTTCAAGAGAAGACAGCGCCGGAAGAGCTACAAGCCCTAGCAGCGGCGGCTACGCGTCCGCTTTTTGTACGATACTAATTTGAGCAGTATTTAGGGGTTCTGAGCTTGATGCATCTGGTTTTAGCTTCATTCTCGTGCTTTATTGTTACTTTAGGGCGAGAGTGGTCAATTAGACGCGCAGGCGGCACGAGCACGAGCTTTGGCACAAGCAAGTTTATTGTCACTTAGCGTCGCAAATGGAAGTTTGTCGCAGAATGATCTGGCGAGACGATTGTACATTGGCAACTTGTATTATGATCTTAAGGAGGATGCCATTCGTAGTGTCTTTGCTCCGTTTGGGGCGATTCACTCAATCGATTTATCTTTGGAGCCAGGGTAAGCAAACGATTTGTGGTACTTGAAGACGCTTCTGCTAACGAAACTTGGGCTGTTATAGTGCATCGCGATCCAAAGGCTTTTGTTTTTTGGAGTACGAAGACGTGCTGGCAGCTGAAAGCGCTGTGCAAGTGCTGAATGGAACAATGCTGGCCAATCGCTCGATACGGGTGTGTCAGAAATACTCAAAGGTTCTACCCTGGTACAATAATTTACTTAATTGCATCGTTATGACTGCAGGTAGGACGACCACACCGTGGAAATACGAATCCTAACGATTCACTGTCGATCGGACAAGAGGCAATTAAAAAGTGCGAAACACGATTTTGACTTTTTAAAGGTCGTGAACCGTAATCTTACGCTGTAAATTGTCTGATTGGAACAACAGTATTCCAACCAAGTGCGTTTATATTGCAAATGTACGACTGGAGCTCAACAGCCAGCACTTAGAGGTAGGTGCTCAAGAATACATGGTGTGTTTATCTCTTTGACTTATTGCAATTGGGTCAATATAGAGTATTTTCTCTCCCTTTGGAACTATTCACTCGTGTGTTATGGCGGCAGCCTCACCCTTGGAAGCTGGAGTGGTATGTTAAGCGTGAAGACACCACATGACTCAAACGCTGATGTATCAATTTGCAACTTGTAGCACCGTGGGTATGGCTTCATGCGTTTTGTGGAAGAGAGCTGCGCTATGAGTGCGATCCAGCATATGAATGGTTTTGAGCTGGCTGGACAGCCACTTAAGGTTGGTAAAGCTAGCGAAGCCGCAATGATCATCAACCTAGCCACCAGTCAAGACAAAGTGGTGCGCATTGGTCCAGGAGCTATGATTGACAAGATTAATGCGGCTGAGTCCGAAACGAATCCTTTTGAAGAAGATGACGTTGACAAAGTCATGGATCCGAACGATCTGAACGATAAGTGCTGCCTTTGTTTGATGAACCTCGTGAAATGTGGAGAAGTCGATGACGAGTTAAAGGATGAGGTGCGTGGTGAATGCGGCAAGTTTGGTGATATCCAGAAAGTGGAGATCCACGAATTGGCAGACCACGTGCGCGTATTTGTGTTGTTTAACGATGCAGTTGGTGCTTCGAAAGCTAAACAAGCGTTACATGGCCGATTCTTTGGTGGGAATCAGGTACAAGTGCATTACTTTTCTCTTCGAGAGCTGGAGCAGCAGCGATACACGAGTGGATTTTTGTGAAAAACGATTTGAGAACAAGATGGTGGGTGAAATATGCAATAATGTACTTCTTGTTTACGTAATACTGTGGCAGAAGCTCTTTTGCGTTCACTATGCTTGTGTGTCGTCCACTTATTGCTGTAGTTTTCCTTGTCTCCAGCCAATTCGCTGTAAGCTTCGCTCTGTTCAGGGCGACTGATTTGTCTTGGCTAACTCGAGTATGAATTTGCCTTCCTTGTACTTTTCCGATGCATTGTGTGCCTCTCTCTGCGTGTAGATAGCAACATCAAGTGGTCACGAATCTGAGAGTATAAAAGCAAGAGAGTGACGTACGTATTTCCAGCCTACAGGACTCCAGCACGTGTTGCAGTAAAGATCTAGCACAACATGCAGTCCCGTCATAAGCATTCGCTCTTCTGGTGGACCTGTACAAACATTGACTCTGAAAAGCGCAGAAAGACGTCAAATGGTTTGAATGTCATATGTAGAAGCGTAAACGTATCAACGCGCACGCTGTGTCGAAGAGGTACGCTTTGCCACTTGTGCCTTGGAAGTTCTGATGACAGAACAAAATTAGCATCAAGATACTGGCGAAAAGAAAATCAAGTCATGTCACCTTAGAAATTATGTCTTCGTTGCGTGCAAGGTGCGCGTTGCAGTTACCACAGCAGAAGATGCGCGAGCTGTCGACATACATCTCGAAGACGCGCCCCATCCTGGATCGTGTGTTCTCATAATACAAAATATGTATAAAACAAAGTTTTGGTCCATCACATTCAGCTGTCAAACGCAAATATCCCACGAGATCTAATCATAATTAAGTATTTGATACTCAAGGACTTGCTAAAAGCGTCTAAATCGTGTAATTAGTCGATATTCGACCCTATTTTCCATACAAATAGGCTCTTGTCGTTGGCACCGACGGAAACCAACCTTGAGTCATCACATGTAAAGGCAACATTTGCCACATCAAGGCTATGACCACGAAGTGTATCTTGCTCCGTGTGTCTGGACAGACACGGCATATCGTATACATGAATCTTTCCTTGATTTGTAGCAGCTACGAGCATTTCCTGTGTATTTGCCTTTGCCAGAGCATACACATGGTGTTCTGGTTTGCCATTGAAATCCCATACGCCTTGAGAATCCCAGGAAAATAAACATTTGTGTGATGCCCAAGTGACATCTGCTACACTTGCAGCTGAAGTAATGTGGCCACCGTCCATAGTACTCACAAACAACAGCTCAAACGCATCTGTCGAGACTCTAGCCATGCTACTATCCACAGCAAAGTCCAGGCGAGTAGCGCAACCAGTGGATTTCGAGAACTTGAAGCGAAGTGCAAAGTTCTCGAGAGTTGAGTAAAAGTACACACAGTGATCAGCTGAAGCCAATGCCAGCAAGGTCAAGTCGGGCGAGAATGTCATATCCATTGCGCTAGACTTGCTATCTCGTCCTTCGTGTAGCACTTCAAGTGTTTGGCTGTTGAGTATAGCAAACGCACCGTCCTTGTGACTTGCATTATTCGGTGAAGTTCCACCAAAGCCTACAGCGAGCCACTTGCCTTCTGGAGAAAAGGCGACACTATGAAGTGCTCCATCCAAAACTGTCTTAGCAATAACGCAGCGCTTCTCAAGATGCCACAGACGTACGGTGGAGTCACCTCCAGCCGTCGCGACCAATTCGGGTTGCAGCGGATGAACTGCAAGACCATTAAGATGAAGTGTGCGGTCAAAGTGACCCTCAGACACGAGAATGGTGTTTCTTGTGAGACAAGAGAGTTCCAGCAGCTCTGCACTTATCGTACCGATAAGCAAACGATCTTCTGCTACATCCCAACAGATCGAACGCACACATGCATTATGTGGCGCTGGTTGGCACTGTGCAATGTCAAAGTCTATCAATGGCGTGAGCGTTTTCCGTGCCCAGAGCTTCACGTGTCCGTCGCGACCTCCAGTCGCACATCCTAACGGCGTGGCGTGAATAGCATAAACGCTGCCAGCATGAGCTGGAATCACTCGTGAGACAGCACAGGCCTGCCAGACATACAAATGACCTGATTCGCAGCCGGTGATCAAAATATCATCCATTGCAGCACCACAAAGAACGGGTTGACGCTGGGCTCTCGCACCAAATGTACCGTTCCGTGCTGTCAGTGTCAATGGCGTCATCTTCCAGAAGATTACATGATCTTCTCCACCAGAGACCAAGTGACAACCTTCTGCACTGTGCGGCTCCTCAATGAAGCAGACAAAAAACACAGCAAGCTTCGTTGTGCGGGAGCTAGCGAAGAGTGCGCCATCATACCATTGACCAGATGGTGACCTATACACGGCTATAGAGTGAAAATCATCCTGACCTACCGCTGCTAAGAGCTTTGGATCAATTGAGCTGAAGCAAACAGCAGTCACTGCTTTGCTATGAAAAGAGCTAAGCTCAACGATGCGCATGCAAGTCGCAGGTTCCCAGATGTGAATGCGAGGTCTCTCTTGTGCAAAATCTTGTGTACAAATCTCCCCCGAAGCCACGAAACCACCACAAGACGATGTTGTGAGGCAGAAGATAGGATGCTTATGCCCATCGTAAAACACTTGTCGGTGCTCTCGGCGATCATAGCTCACGCCTACATATCCAGTCGGATACACAATTCGTTTAGGTCGCGCGTACATGACATTTTGTCGAGCGTCATGAGCACGCATTCCGAACACATGCTCGAGCTCAAAAGAACGATGGCTTCCCACTCCGTCGGTTCTACTTGGTTCCTGAACAGCATTCGACGGCTTTATCATTGTTTGTAAGAATGGCTTCGCTTCTCTATGGGTCCTTCTGCCGCCAGTGGTAATAGCCTTGAGCAGGCTATGTCCTTCAGCGTCCACATCAGGATCACCTTCAGGATCCTTTGCTATGGTCACATTTCCGCTCTGTTCGTTGTCCACACGTCTGTCAGCACTATCTACTCGTCTCCATTGCAACATACAACGATCATATCGACCAATGCTGACGCAGACACTTCCGCCGGCTCGCAAGAAACATAACTGGGAAACTGCACCGCTGTGTCCATGATACGTCTTTGCTCCTGCACCCTGTGCAATAGCCGGATAATTGAACAATTTGATCGCTCCATGCGAGTTGCCAGCCGCAAGAACTGCACTACTGTCTACGTAAGGTGCACTGGGCTCTGAACATGCACAACATGTGATTTCACCGATAGCATCGTTTAAGTCTCTATGTGGTACTGGCCAAATTCCCTGGTTTGACCAGTTGTAAATGGTGGAGCACGTATCCCACGTTTGATCGCGAAGTGCTGTTGCGCTGGCTATGTGAGAACCGGTGGTGACGTCGGCGAAGAACAACTCAAAGCCTTTGCAATTGCTACGCACGTACTGCGAGTTACTTGAAATATCAAGATGAGTGATTGGTGCTTTGTGTTTAGAAAAAATCGCACGCTTCATAAAATTAGTCGGCACGTCATAAATGTACACCGAACCGTCGAAGGCACCACACACTAGGGAATGTCCATCAGGGGAGAAGTGCATGACGGTAATCGCTTGCTTAGTATCGCGCGTCTCATGCACGATTTCTAAGCTTTGTCCACGGTCTTCAAATACCAACAGCGTACCATCCTTCTTGTGACGTCGACTAGTGCCGTCAGAGCCCAATCCCACGGCAATAAAGTTGCCGTCCGGGGAATAGGCACAAGCTCGGCTGAAAGTCTCAAGTTTTTTCGTCATGATCTCAAGATGGCGCGTCAAGTCCCATACACGGAGCACAGCGTCGTCGCCAGTTGTGCAGCCTCGAGCTTTCGTTTGACAGACACAAAGTCCATGAAGTTCACCGCGTGAGTGGGTCTCTATGAACGGGACTGACGCCCCATCTGGCATCTGGAATTCTATCGGAGTGCCATCACGACTCGATATTAAGTGAATACTTGCGCCTCTAGTACCTACGAGTAATAACTCTCGAGCAGTGTCCCAAAAGACACTACGAATTGCGTACTGTGCTGGATTAAATTTGCCAAACTCAGCCAGACACTCCAAGTCAGCGCTCCAAAGCTTTACCAAACCGTCTTGACCACCACTAACGATACCGCTCGCGACCGCGTACAACGCTGCAACGCTTCGTGTGTGTGCAGGTACAATGCTGAATAGCTCGATTCCTCTAAAAGAAATTAAATCACCGCTGACGGTGCCCGCGATGGCATCGTCGCCCATATACACTATGCTCAGAAATGATGGCGTGACACCTAATTGATGGCCTTTACGTCCCAGTAGTGCGTCTTTCTTGATGAGTGTTCGACCTGCTCCAAGGCGCCAAAAGGCTGCAGACTTAACGCCGACAGTCGCGATGATGATGGGTGCCATTTTAGACCCGTTGGAGTTCATTACATTTTTTGGTGTCATGACCGATTCTTGCTGAAAACTTAAGCCAAGAATGCGTCCTACCGATGATGTACTCGTATGAGCGAGCAACTCACCGCTGCGCCAGTCGTACAGTGCGAGTGAGTTTCGATCATCCAGTCCAATGCTTGCCAACAAGTTGCCGCCTGCATTAAAACGCAATTCGGCAATACCTTGTCGATGAAAGCCACGCAAGGACATAATCACTTCAAACGAATCGACTCGCCAGATATGAATAACAGGGAGACGCCCCATTTGTCCTGACGCTGCGATCTCTCGAAAATTATTTGCCCTTTCACCCGGCTTGATATGCATAGTAAGACTTGTCACTTCGTCCGTGTGTTGCTTAAAATGACGCTGTAGCCAAAGCTTCGTATCCATGACCACGACCAGGTTTGCAGCTGGATATACGATTGAGCTCGAAAATTGTGTAAGGAATGCATTATTGCGAACATCGTGGCAGCGATATCCATATACCCACTCAAGCTCAAGACTTTCACTGGGTAAAGTCGGAAGCTCCAAGTTTGTTTCACTCGGCGACTGTGAAGGTGGTACACTGTACTTCACCCACGGTTTTAAAATAAGCGAATGTGCTTTGGAGGTCTCTAATTCACTTTCTTGCCGCTTGTCATCATTGCTGCACATTGAATTCTGTAGTCGATTCTCAATGAGCTCAAGCGCAAAGTCACCAACAGCGGCAACTTCTTCATGAATAGACCGTAGTTTTCCGTGACTTTGTTCGCGCTCATCGTCAGAGGTGATTATCGGATCATTTGCGTCGCCGATCGTACCGACGGCATCAACTTCTTCACGCTCAACGCGCCACTGGAAAATACAGCGTTCATCGCGTGCACAGGCGACGACGTAGCTCCCATTTGCTGTGAAGCGAATGGCTGAAATGGTACTAGCCGCGCCATATGCAAATTGACTATGTGAATCTAAATTCACACAAGGATACCGAAAGAGACGCAAGATGCCAAGCGTGTCTCCAGTCACAAGCAATTGTGTCTCAGCACCAGAAGAGCGATCGACCGCCGAGATCTCGTATTCCTGTGCGCCATGTGCTGGCCACGCACCCTGAACACCCCATCCATAAGGACACGAGCACGTTAGCCATTCAACATTTCGTAGCGTCGCTAACTGCGTGATCTCCCCACCAGACGAGCTCTCGAAAGCTATTATTTCACCTCGATTTCGAGCGTTTGCCAAAATGTGCTCACCTGTAGTTGAAAAATCAAATGAACTAAGAACTGCGCCAGCATCACGAGCACGACATTTGCCTTTAGACGCCCAGTCTTCCGTATGGTACGAGTATATGCAGTTGTCGCTTGACCCGATAGCCAGTGTAAGTCCGTCCCCCGAAAATCGCACAGTTTTGATCGCTCGCTTAGAGTCTTTAGCCTCGAATTTCACTGCAAGTGACGACTCCTTCAGTACGACAAACGCGCCAGTTTTGTTCGAATTGACGAACTTCGACTGTTGACGTTCTTGCAATGACCTCAACTTCGGGGGAAGAATCGCAATACGCTCATCATCTTCATCAACACCTTGACCCACTGCAATCATAGAACCGTCCGGTGAGTAAGCACAGGCTCGAGCGGGGGCATCTAGGGCGGCGACACGAATCTGGCGATGCATTGAAAGATCCCATACACGCACAGTATGGTCGTCCCCCACCGAGCAACACTCATGCCGGTGCGGATGCGTTGCAAGACCATGAAGCTGATTTGTCGAGTGTCCACACACGACAGGACCAAAGTGCAAATTAGCACCATCACTTGATGCAATTTCGAAGATCTCCGCACCTGCCGTAGCAATCAGCAGCTTTTTAGCTTCGCCATCTGGAGAAGCTACTAAGCTTCGCACGCGAGGTGCTGAACTGCCTAGCGCCACCAGGTCGAATTGAGCACCGGCCTCGATGCGTCGATTCCACACGCGAATTTTGCCATCGTTTCCACCACTTAATAGTCCATCTGATAAAGCATAAAGAGCAGTCACGGCTGCTGCATGTGCGTGAATTACGCGTACGCAATTGCGTCCTTCGAATACCAACAATTGTCCACGCGCCGTTCCAGCGATCATGACTGAAGCACCTGGTATAACAGCCAAACTGAGTATGGTTTGCACTTTTGCTTTGCGTCCCAGGACTCCAGGGAGTCGTTTATATAACGCATGAGAATTGGAATATTGTACGTCAGGCTCCCGTATCCAGAAGAAGAGATGGCGTTGCCCAGCTGTAACAAATTGAGGCTGACCTGTAGGTCCAGAAAAGACTGCTAGTGCGTGCACAGGCTCTTGACCTCCACGTCCAGCGAAAACAAGCGTCGCTGGTTTTTCCCAATCCGCATCACCCATCTTTTCGCTGTCTGCTGTACCTGTTGCTTTTCCCCATTGATAAACTGCGATGCAGTGGAATTCATCCTGACCGACTGTCACTAATGTCCGTCCAGTCGGTAGCCACGCTAGTTGAGACACACCTTGTCGATGGAACCCACGAATGACACTCAGTACTGCGATTCCGCCTCCACCTCCACTCTCACTCACTGATTCTGTCGACCAGACGACAATTTTCGGCTCGAGCGCACATTCACCTGTGGCAACGACGCGACGATTCAACGGATGGAGAGCCATTGACTGAACAAGTCCCGAGTGGTGGCAAGCAAATTGCTGGTGGTGGGCGTCTGTATCATACAAGACAACAACGCTGCCTGCAGTATAAATTGCCTCAGTTGTTGACACATACTTAACGATGTTTCGGAGATCACTATTAAAACCATAGATCCATTCAAGTTCCAGACTTGCGGCCGGCAATCGTGGATCAATTACAGGAGGTGGACTGTGCGCTAAATTTGTCACTGCAAGTTGCCATGGACGTTGCTCTAGCACCTTGTTCACTGTAAAGTCCAGTACCGACGCGTCATATGGTAGATTTCGGTCTCTGTCCCTTGCTTTATCTCCATCGTCGAAAGCAGAAGATGCCAGAATATTTGCAATGGTCTCTTGTTCTACATCGCTATCGTCTCCGGTCTGTTCGTCTACTTTTTCGCCTGGACAGTCAAAGTAGTCGACCCAGGACGTCACTTCAGGAGTTGAATTGCAAAAATTTAAAAACTCAGAAAGCGATAAAAAAGCATCTTCATCAGCCTTGTGAGCTTTTTGCAAAGCGTAGCGTGCCAAGTTTTCAAGGACATGCTCCGTTGGACAGGAAACATCTTGACAGAGCTTGCATAGCCCTGTCAACGTCGACTTGAAGGCCAACGTAAGTTCATCCAGTGACAATTGCCCCGTCTCGTTAAAGTCGTAACAATTGTACACAACTGTTGCGACATTAGTCTGTTTGGAGCTTCAAAAAGGCTCGAAAAAGCGACGTACATGTCAATTTCTGGGAAGTGGACATGGCTGATATCATGGCCATCGTACCCAAAAACTCGAGTGCATCAACCAACCCGTTCTAAATCTCAACATTTACACGATCAGTTGCAATAGCATGAAAATGATTGATGTTCTACATCACCTCATCTGTGTCTAGAGCGGTAAATAGAGCACCACTGAGCTGGTCCATTTCGTCATGTGCATAAATGTCGAGCGAGCGCTGCATTAATTGGCAGATCTCCACAAATTCATCTCGATTCAGGCCAAAGCCCTCTGCCACATCGTTGAAGCCTTCCCAGAGTTTGTTCACGTCCCGCTCGGATGCTGTATATGGATAATACTAAAGTTAGAAGAAGCTTGGTAGAAGATTGATGCTCACCGTTTAGAAAGGAGGTCGATGCATCCAAGTACGTCGCCTTGCCCTGCAATTGCCCCATGATTTGAGGATCTTGAAAAGTCGTGATTTAGTGAAAAGATATTTTATATCTGAGTTTCAAAAGTCGGCGAAGAAAATCTACCTTTCGTAGAAAAAACCAAACACTCTCAACATGTAGCCATTCTTTGACACTAGTGCAGTGACTTGTTTGCGGTCTGCAGTGAAGTATGCTTCGTGTAATTCGCGAACTGCTGTCGCCAAGCAGATACACTGGGAGCTACAAGAACCAAGTTTTATGGCAGGGCAATTCTATATCATGATTTTCAGCTGCCTTTCAACGACATAATTGATAGCTACATATCATTGAGCGTCAATTTGCATCAGCGCGCAGTCAATCACAGATTCAAAAAAACTTCTCTTGGTGACCCAGTCACAGCATGTTTCGTTATCAATCAGTACCCAATTTCAATTTAACATTCAAAATCGAGTACCAGTATCCGGATGGACAAATTTTGAGACTGGTATTATCATTTAGAAACGTTTTTGCGGCGATTTATGTTGTTTGGGAGTTGCATTTGGAATTTCAAAAGTCATAAGTAAGCTTTAAGTAGTGCCCTCTCGCTGGCTAGAAATCTTGGATTTTGTATAGGACTCTTCAGCTACCAGTGCGGAACCAAGCCACTTCCGCCTCATGGAGCGCACGCTAAGAAGCGTAGCGACCGACGCTACACGCAAGCGAAAGCGCGGGGCTCTACAGGATATTAGTAACAATGCAAAGAAACTTTCACATCCGCGTGGTTCCTCACGAGGCGGCGTAGGCGTTATTAAGAAGCGAGTAGAGAACGACGAAAGCAAGTCTCAGGCATTGCGGGCCTCAGCACGAGGCAAGACGACGGCTACAACTGTTAACTCCGCGTTGAAAAGCTCAATGGCATCTACAGTTTCTAGCAAAGCGAAAAAGTGTAAACCGGTCGGTAAGAAGACCGAAACGACGCGCGTTAAGAAGCGGAAGCTCGAAGGTGTTGAAAACCAGCCACCAGTCCCACACCAAAAGGTTCAAACGAGTATGTTGTCGTTTCAGGCTTCTTCAAAGCCTAGCGAGAGAAAAGAGAATGAAGTTATGAAAAAGGAGCAAGTCAGCGTGGATGCAGAGGTGATGTGTTGTACAGAGAGGGAAAAGAGAGTATATGGGAAAACTAATGAGGTTATTGCAGGTTGAATTAGCAGTGATTGGTGATCAAGAATTGGTGGAGAAGAAAACTAGTGCAGAAGCGGTTGAGGTGGTAAGCGAAGAAAAGAAAAATGATACATCAAAGGCTCAAGAGTCCGAAGAGTTGAAAGCTGAAGTTGCGGCACGAAAAAACGAGTATTTTCCTCGTCCGTATACATGCGCTTTCGACCATAAAGACTCGTGCTTTGATGTTGAAACGTACACTGCATCAGTGCGTGATGTTGACGCGCCGTCTGCTACAATAAGCTCGCACCATGCGAAATTAATTCGCGAGCTTGATACTTATTATAGAAAACATGAGATCAAGTATTTGCCCGAAGCAGACTACATTGGTACCGTCCAGATGGACATAAATGAGAAGATGCGAACTATTTTGATTGACTGGCTTGTCGAGGTTTGTGAGGAGTATGAGCTTGACTCACAAACATTCCATAAAGCAGTAAGTTAAAGACTTTTTTCAAGTGATTTATGCTTATCCGCGGCTTTTGATGTTTGGAAACCTTATTCTTTTGCCCAATAGGTTAATTTGGTCGATCGCTGCCTGAAGAAGATCAAAATTAATCGCAAACAGTTCCAGTTACTTGGCTGCGCATGTATGATGATTGCAGCTAAGTTTGAAGAAGTATTCGGCCCAAACGTTGAGGAGTTTGTGTACATTTCCGACCAAACGTACACTGCTGTGGAGGTATGCAGCGCATCATTTCGTTGACAATGCTGTAATTCACTTTATATGATGAGTGTATAGATGTTAAATATGGAAGTACAGGTGCTTAATGCACTGCAATACCGTGTCGCATCGACGACATGCTACGGATTTATACACCGTTATACAGAAGCAGGATGTACGACGGACAAACAGCGATCGCTGGTGCTGGTGAGTGCACGGACGTCTCTTGGTTGGCATTCGCTTTTTAATGAATACTGCCACTTCTCTTGCAGTATTTATGTGACTTCGCTTTACTGTTTCTCCATATGGTTCGGTTCAAACCCTCAATCTTGGTGGCTTCTGCTGTATATCTTGCACGTCTAACAACGGGAGTATCAGATCCTTGGACACCGACATTGCACCATGCGACCAAGTACAATCCATTGGATTTTCAAGAGTGCGTCGAAGAGTTACATCGCCTTCACGCTATTGAAAATCAGGTCGTCATAACTCAGCGCGATAAAGCAAAAGCTGTGAGCGAGAAGTACTTGGTGGACAAATTTCACAAGGCAAGCACAATTCCTGCTTGCAGCAAGAGCCAGCTGGCAGACTCCTTGGACCTGTACACGCCTTTCGAGGCAGGCAAGGACAAGAGCTCTTAGTTAATTGTCAGCGTTGCGAGCTCTCTTCAATGGATGAGAGCTCGTTCCTGAAGCAGTGCACTCGCTAAGAGCGCGAGTAAGCGACTTACGCTCAATATTGTCATAGCACTTTTAGGAGGAGGCTTAGTTTTCATCGTTGTCATATATTCTGCAGCTCTTTGTGAAGCGCGGTATGACACAATATTATAGCGTCATCCGAGATGACCTTTTGCTTATGTAGTGATCCTCAATCAAATAGTCTGAATTACCGAATGTATTTCAAACTGCATTTTTCTACTTTTCGGATTTTATGTCTGACAATCCGAAAATTATGATAAATGCAGTTTGATCGAAAAGTCAACCACATCTTGTGGTCGCTCTCCATAGCGTAGAGCATTTATTCGTATACTTGCTTCGGCTAACCTCATCGTATTAAGAAGATGAAATGAGGAATAGAAGGCAAGTTTAGAGGGATTATATTTAGGTCCTTAGTCCGCTACTTTGTAAGCCTGTAATATGACGTCATTGGCCGCAACTCTATCGTGTCATCGCGGGCGCAATCATACAATATTGCCCCATGGTCTGGGAATTCGATCGCGCAACGTATGCTTTAAGCCGATCTTCTAACACTCCTCCTCGCGATCGTGTTCCCGCCGCCATACCTAGCGTAAACCCACGAGCTCTCGCAGCTCTGCAAGCTTGTGCTGATCCAACGAAGGCATGTCCGCAAGCATCAGCTCCGAGCGGACGGATCAAATCCTCACCAAGCCTCGACAAGCCAGATGTATATCAAACTTGAGACGCACATCAATGTGACTAGCTGTTATGGACGAAGGCTCTCCTTCGATCTGACGAATCGCGGCCTGTTTATCGACATGCATCAGCATAGGCTGTGCAGCGAGGCTGCCGTGGCTTTGCGCTTAGA